TGGTGAAGAATCTTTTATCTCATGATTTACTTCATCTGGACAGTTCTAGCGAACCAATTCATAACAGCATAGCGATTTTGGTTTGTCATCCCAATACTTGATTTAATTGTCTCAACATGCCCCGATATGTCGAGGTCGAGCTATTTTATAATCTTAAATGGCAAATGCATGATAACTTAAACTTGTGCTTAACCTAACTTTCTCTTCCTGCAACGTAGCTGATTATGAAATCATATATGAGTTAAACAAAATGAAAGTGAAACCCATGTCTCAGAATCCAGGCTTCATATTTTATTCTTGTTAAATTTGCTTCCATATTTTTAACGTTGCATTCTTTTTCTTTCACAAAGTACTTGTCCGTGATACTACACAACTTGAAGCTTGTCTCTTCTGATAACTTGGAATCTTTGGATCTGGAAATGTGGCCAAACGGAGGCCACAGCTATATAGTTACACGACTTCTTAGGTGCTATCCACAGTTAAAGACCCTCAAAATCTCGTTTATCGACTATAATTGGGTGAGAACATCCTATTCAATTGGCATTTATCATACATCAGTGATTTTATAAGTAAGCTTATTCCCTTCACCTATGTGCAGGGTTACTCTAATGGCATTTTTGATGAAGAAAGGGAAAACTATCCCCAACCTCCCGACATCCTATCAGGAGAAATGGTCCACCGTAATCTGAGAATTCTTGAGATGAAGGGATGTAAAGGCTATGGTGAAGAACTGCGGACAATGAAATTCTTGTTGCAGACTGCTGTCGCTTTAGAAAAATTTACAGTTGACATTTCTAAGGATGAAGAGTCATGGACAGTGGACGACATCCAAGCATTACCCCAACCTTCTAACATGGAAATCAAGATCAATATATATTAGTCCCCAAGTAAAGCATCAAGTAAAGGGATCTGCTAAACTTTATATTTAGACCTTATTCTATGGTTTGCTTATCTTGCTGTAGGTGGTTCTAAATGTTGAACTTTAGACCTTTATCTCCATGGTTTTTAAGTTATGTTGTTGATGGTTCTAACCTTAACTTTTGCATATGTAACCATGACTTTAGTCCGTAACGTGGTGATGTTTAACTGCTACTGCTGGTCTACTTCTGCAACTTCGGATACTCTCTACATGTGCATGTATGTGAGTGCACGTGTATGTTTGCATGTGTATACATGTATGCATGCACAATGTTGCTTTTTACAGAAATTGTGCAAAGCATGTAATTTTGGAAAATATGATTTATTTCTCAACCATGCATGCATGCACAGGATGAAAAAGATGTCACTCGGATCCTATGATATTTAACAGACAACATACCGATGTGTCTATTCATAATAAAAATATGTAATATAACAATCATAGAAGCTCTTAGTTAATTCCTTTATTGAATTTATTAAAGAATATTTCACTTTCCTTCAAGCTATATATTTCGACACATCTCAATGACCATGTTTCTCCTCACTTTACGTTCCTTAATTTGTTTGATTTAAAAGTGAAACACTAAACCTCAGATGCAAGAGAATTACATAGGAACCGATTCTATCATATGATTCAAAAAGGTCTATACTGCCAACAACCAAATATCCTCAATGATGTTTCCCTGGACCTCGAATAACTTTAGAGGAAATTTTTGGGCATAAGAGGACATCAGTTATGTGTCGCTCACAAATAAGTCATCCAAAATGGAAAGAAGGAAATGATTTACTTTCTCAACCACACATGCACATATAGGATAGAAAAAGACATTGGCAGGGTCCTATGATATTTAACAGACAGCATTCCCGTGTCTTATTCATATAACGAAATATGTAATATAGTAATCATAAGGCTCTTAGTTTAACTTTCTAAAAGAAAATCTCACTCTTCATCCAGCTCTATGTTTTGAAGCATCTTAATGGCCACGTTTCTCCTCGCTTCATTTTCCTTAATTTGTGCTATTTAAAAGTGAAACACCAAACCCTCAAATGCAAGAAAAGTTTCTAGAAACAGATTCTATCAAACGATTCAAAAAGGTCTATACAGACAACAAAGAAAAAAATCCTTCATGGTGTTTCCCTGAATATTGAAGAAACTTAGAAGAAGAAAAAATCAAAGAAAGTTACGCGCGAAGATGTCATCAGTAATGTGTCTACTCACAATTCACAAATTAAGTCGTCCATAAGGGAAGGAAGAAAGCATCTTATAATTTCTTACTTACATATTACACGACCCTAGTCACAAGATTTTAGTCAATATCACACACAAACCATTCTTACCGCACACTTAACTGGTACAATTACTCTGCCTGATTTATAGGAAGAACCAATGAGTGACAAACTTGTAACCTCTTTAATAACTCTTCCGGATTGGCTCCTATCATCCTGTCCATCTCTGCTCCATCTTTCATTAGCAAAAAGGTAGGCATCGCCCTCACATTGCACATGGAAGCCACTTCCTGTGAGACCCACCAAAAAGAAAGATGATAACCAAATACCATTTTAAGAAACTAAGAAGGTGTGTCTTAAATGTCAAGGAAAGAGTTCAAGCGAATGTAAAGGACGGAAGAGAAGAGCCACAGAATATCACCGGAAATGCTTCCTAATACAGGAGAGTAGATAGGAATCTGATAAGTTCTACACATTAACAGCACTTCCGATTTTGCAGAATTCCATCGATCGCATACACAGGTTTTAAAAAAAAAAATCCGTCTAAAAAAATTAGGAGGCGCTAACCACAAAATAAGCCTTTCTAGGCTGGTAATGACCATCCCATAGAAAGTACTGCGAACCATCCCCCATCAAAAAACCTTAATTCGAAAAGATTAACTCGATTGACCCTTCACTGTAATCTCCTTCGAGAATAGTTAGCCAACATGATCATTCCACTAGAACCCTTCTTTCTTCCCTAATTCTCGAGGGCAAGAGGGGCAAATCTCTGTATGCCACTATACATTATCGAGATAAAGCCATTGAATGATTACCATGAGAATACTTTCCGGCCAAATTAGTAAGTTTATACACATGCATTACAGAATACACAAATAATCCAAATGATATCAGGGCTAACAACAAACCTTTTACTACTCAACAACCTCAAAAACTATGACGTCTTCATGACCCACAGAGAGCTCATCAAAATAAGGGTTCATTGAAAGAGATGGAACACACCACGAAGCACCAAAATGCACGAAAACCTATAGAAATTGCACCCATCAAAAAAAAAAATTCAACTTATGGGTCATGAAAATGATCAAATTTGAGAGTCGACGGAGCTTTACAGGGGCATTCTGAGAGCTAGCTTGAGACATGAGGATGTCCCATGATTGTTTCGACTCAACCTTCACAACCCTGGACTTGGGCTCTTGATCACCGATCTCCATTGCTTTCTTCTCCTCACTCTGGGTTTGTTTGCTATTTATGTAAATTGATTGTTTTTCTTTTTTTTCTTTTTCTTTTTTACAATTAATGGGATAAGGATTGTGGATGGAGACTTTGGGTTGTGTACGGAGTCTGAGTCTGATCACATTTTTTTTTTGTCGCCATTAATAAACAGAGACTCTTTGGATAATGCATGTGATGGGTGGATTTGACGAATTTATTAAATACGGATAGAAAAATTCTTCAAGGACTCAAAATATGGGACCAATAGGGGGACAACTAGGGTGTCCCCTTCCTATTGGATAATGAGTTGACAATCATTAATGATGGCCAACTCATTATCTAATAGGAAGGGGACACCCCACTTGTCCCCCTATTGGTTCCATATTTTGGGTCCCTGTAGCAAAGCTTATAAAAATAATAATTTAATATTCCAAGTTACAAAAAAAAAATAACTCGTTAATGCTTTTTGTTAATTATCATTAGAATATTTCTTAACAACTAATTCCTCTAATAATTTTGACAAGGGGGTCTAAAAATAGTCAAACACAACAGTATTTTAACACAATTAATTATCATTTGAACATCATTATATATAATGAGACTTCAAAATCATAATTCTAATTATAATATAGTGTTCACAATCACATTCTTCTAGCATTCATTTCTTGAAATCTTTTCGTGACATCTTCGCTATCAATGTTATAAAAAAAAATTTAGAATGAGACACGAAACAATCATTCGTATACTTATCTCCCGCTTAATTTTGAATATCATTCGTAATAAGTTTCATTGCCGAAATTGCTCTTTTTAACACTTGTTGCCGTCCTTGTTTCAACTGTTCAGCACTAATTTTTTTCAGATTGATGGTAAAACTTGGGTCTTCGATTAATAGTTGCTTTGTATGTTTATAAATGAGTAACGGGAAATGAGTCATGGACCAAGCTGGATGTGGACTTAGGAGATGTAAGTACTACTTTTTTTATAGCTTATGATATCAAAGTAGCACTTTCTATAATTTATTAAAATATTTAAATGCAAAGGTGATGAAATAATAAGATATTTAAGTGTCGTTTAGCCGTTTGAAATTAGAACACATAAAGGTGAAACCTTGGATTTTTAGTGGTAAAGAAAAAAATTCATTTTAGGGGAGTTTTTTTTTTATTATCATGAAAGTTTTAAAACTAGCACTTAAAGATCCTAAGTTGTAATGCAAAACAAAGAGTATTTAAGTGTTAAGTTCTAACAATTTTATAGTATTTAAGTATTAGTTTTAAAATCTTTTGAGTGTTTAAGTGTTGCTAAAAAAACCTAAAGATATATAAGTGTAAGTTTTAAAATTTTTAGATTATGTAAGTGCTACCAAAAACAAATAAAGATATATAAGTTCAGAGAGTATTGAGAGGGCATAGTGTGTGAATTTAAAAAATGGCCCAATATGTTGATGGAGTGATGGGCCATAGTGAGAAATATGATTGAATCCCAAAAATGTTCAATAAGTAATTATTAGATACAACCCATGTAATGGATAGAATTACCAAATCACTTTTACCTGTTTAACTTCATCCTAGTTCGACTACTACTTTGTTCAAAGGTGGCCATCAGTTAAAATGTTGTTTCACAAATTGAAAAAAAAATATATCTTTTAACTAATTATTAGCATAAAACGTACCTGAGTTGACATTTTGCGAAAGATTAATTGTAAATGATCCCCTTTCTCTCGTGAATTTAGCCCAACACTTATGAATTCTAAACTGCTTCGTCACCTCATGCCATTCCTTTGTCACCCACCTACACTCCTCTAAGATTTGTAGTAAAGAAAGGTCCGGATCTGCAATCTCAGGTGCAGTCATAAGGTCAGAACGGTGGAGGACGAGTCAGGCCATCAAGTAGGTTGACAGCTCTATCTTGGAAGTAGGAATCTCACTCGAAGGCTTACTCCCTTCTTGTGTTGATGTGGTGGCTAAGAAACGAAGCCCACTATGGATGTCAACAATCATGGCAGGGAGCAACGAAAGCTTGCGTCCAATCACCAATTGAACGGCTAGGAACAGAACCTCAACAGGAAGTGCTTTTGAGACTTGTTGAGGCACTACACACTTCTTTAGCCATATGGCTAAGTACCCCGCTAGAAGAGTCGCCGGCTTTATCTTCCTTTGAGCATGCCACAAGAAGGTCTCAAACTCCGTGCCCCTTGGAAATTTACCTTCAGCTAAGTGGGTGGTGTAAGATTGAGCACAAATCTTAACTATCAATTTATTAATGGTAGGAGGGGTCAAATGAGGTGACTCGCGGGCGGGTGGTGTAAGATTGAGCACAAATCTTAACTATCAATTTATTAATGGTAGGAGGGGTCAAATGAGGTGACTCGCGGGCCTCATTTCCCGAAGGGTCCTCAAAATTCTTGAAGAGGTAATCGGCGAATTGCTTCAAACTAACCCGCGGAAACTTCTTCGGTTTCAAATCGATCCCGACCATAGTTGTCTGATAATGGCAGGTTAGCTTCCAAAGAATATCATAAGCACTGGAGCATGTCTCTTTCATCCTGTTCAATTGACGAGTGGTGGAAAAATATTCTTGATAGGATATATCCCCCATCGTTAATCTGAACACATTCATCATCACATGAAGAGGAATGCCTAATTCTCCAGGCTTAGTAACTTCTATTAAATTAGTAGAGTGATGATAAACACTAGTTAATGTATAGCTGAGGTGGAAAACACCAAAAATTATCTATATAACACTAATGAGTCTACTATTGTTCCTAAGCACAGTAGCACCCAATAGTTTGGTATGGAAAAAAGTAGTTTTACTCATTAGTCCAAACTTTAACCTAATTTAACTATTTAGCCCAAAAAGAACTAGGCTATATCAACTTCTGAGGAACTGTATGAATAGCGGCTGCCAACTAGTATAATACAATAATATATATTGAAGGTTTTTCCCTAAAGATCCCACGTTTCACCTAATTTATTTTTAAGACCCAAATTCTCTCACAATAATATATATTGAAGGTTTTTCCCTAAAGATTTACTTCATCATATTTAAACCTATCTGCTTCTAAGATCACCCTTAGTCCCAAAAAATGTGTTATTGTTATTACTATTATTATTAATATTATATTATACTATATAATATAATTATAGGATATGACGTAATTTAAATAATTTTCTTTGCATCCTCATCTAACTACTTCATAGATCAGTAAATAAGAGGCTATATTTTGAGCTTTAAGGTCCAGTGTCCAACTCTTTTGGTGCTAATTTCTCCCCTCCAATGTTAATATTATCTCTCTCTCTATAGTCGATTTTTATTTAGTTGTGGAAAGAAGGAAACCGGAAAAAATGAAGAGCCAACTCAATCCCCCACCTCTGCATTGCTCCTTCCTCACTTCTATCTTTTCGATCCTATATTTTACACAATGACCTAAATGTGCATCTTCAAATCAAACATAATTAAATAAATTCAACCAGAAGAATAAGCATATAGTTCTCTAGAAACCTCTCTTCTCCCCTGATATTTTCAATCAACTGTAGATAGGCATTGTTTATATCTAAAGTGCACGTCCATAACAAACATAATTAAAAAATTTTAACCACAAGCACAAATCTATAGTTATCTAGAAACCTCTCTTCTTCTCATAATATTTTTAGTCAAAATTCCTATGACGCAGCGGTAAAAATAAAGAAAGCCTTTCCATGTGGACTTCCTCCAAGAAAGCTTTACTACTATGACTTCCTCAAAGATAAACGACTAAACTGGATTTATTCAATTCTAAAAGATGACAGACGCTGCCCAAAGCAAAGTATTTAAAGAGAAATTCTAAAACCCTAAAAAAAGTTTAAAACATATTACTAAATTGCCTAATAGAAAATAGAAAAGACAATAAATTGCAAATTTGAGGCCCTAAACGATCTCAGATGCCCGAAAAACAGCGAATCTCATGGCTAAGCCATGAGTCTTGCTCGTTGGCCTGTTTCGCTTAAGCTATGCAAATTTCAGCACATTCGAACAACTTGACTTTTCGATCCTACATAACTTTTTATCCTACATCACCCTATTTTGAATTCTCATGTCATCACCTCTCCACATCATGTCAAACCCTTGTTGATTAAAAAATGGGGCAACAAAATTATGGATCAAAAAGTAAAAGAAACTAGAGAAAATTAACAAACTCAGATCGATGCCGAGGACTAGCGGTGGAGGAGATTAGAGGAGAGGGGATGAGTAATGTGGATTGACATCAACTTCATATAGAGGATTGTGGGGGTGTTGTAGGATTTTTGTGAAGTGTGTTGTTGATGATTTTGTAGGGGTTAATATTTTGGTAAGTTAATTTTTGGGGATTATTTATTTAGTTGAAACTTGTATACTTCCCAAATTGAATATATATTTATGAATTTTCCCTATAATTTATCATCAGTTCTATGACCAAAATTTAGTTTGTTTGTTTTTTCAAAATTATGTCCACATGGCAGATGTGAGGAGTTCAACAAATTTGATACATTAGATGTGAGTTTATTTTGATGTTTATTACTTTCATTTGCTTTGATGCTTATTATTTCTAAATTATTATGTGATATTGTCGAGGCTACAAAGGCAGAACATTTCATGATTATGATATATGATATCACATTTAAAAAGGTAACACCAATGAGACCTCATCCCAAAAAAGGTAAGTGAAGCTTCAATCTTTTAGTTATTAACTGTTTTCTCTTATTTAGATGTATCCGAACGACATGTGCTTAGATCCAATAAATGCACATGGTGATTTGTTTCCATATTGTCGTATATAATCAAACGCATTAAGTTGCTAAATAAAATTAGTATTAAGCATCCACGTACTTTCAAATGAATCTCTGTAAATTCTAAGTTGTTATCATTCATTTCTTAGAATCCTATTAATACGTTGAAGAGTTATCTAATATATTGGATCTCTAACTTGTAAAAGTGCTAACTTGGGTTAAGTACTATAACTCAATTGTGAAGCTTTTCCTTATTCCTCTTTTTAACTTATTTTTACGCTAATGCTGCAGCATCGCACGCGTCGATTTTGTTCGTCTATACTTAATTAGTTGAGCCAAGGGCTAAAAGCTTAAACAAGGTCGTCCGAAGGACCTTAAAGTAATTTTAGATTGATTTCCAACATTTGCCCAGCAGCCCTTTCCAAATCCGCACGCTCTAGCTACCGTGCGCCTCCGCAGCTGACGCAAGCGCTTCGGCCCACGCCACGGCCCGCGCCATCCAATCATAAATCACCACGTGTGAGATTCTCCCGACACCGGAATCACGTCCAGGTTCATTGTAACTGAAACTGCAGTCCCTTATTTAATCCCAACCCCTAAACATAATTTTTCCCAAAAACAACCAAATTTAGTACATAAAATTCTTTTATTTAAAAAAAAAGCTAATTCAATTAATTATCGTCATGGCGTCGTCTACTGCTGCAATCTCTGGCTCAATCTCCTCTCATTCTCTCCTCCACCGAGATCCCAAAGGTAACCTTTATGGTTTTTTCTTAATATTAAACCCATTAGTTCGCTGTGATTTACTTTGAAACCCAAATCATTCGTAAATCTAGAAGATTTAGTTTTGAATCCCGAATCAAATCTGTATCATATGCTATAATTCGATCAAAATTGCTATACATTCTGTTTATTGAGTTTGAGCTTAAAAGGTTTGGAAATGGGTGGGTTAAAAAAAATCAAGCTTTGGTCTTTTACCCCCCTGAAAATTGTTATTTTTCCCTTGCAGCAGCGCAAATTGGTAATTTGGTCACGAGAGTCCAATTTAAAGAGACCAATTTGAAGAAGAAATGGGCGGTTCACGCGGTGGAGCCCACGAGAAGGACCGAGTCGATGGTTACCGCGNGAGGAGGAGGAGGAGGAGGAGGATTATGAGAAGCTGGCGGCGGAGCTCGAAGATGCTTCGCCCCTCGAGATTATGGATCGGGCACTCGGGAAATTTGGGGATGACATTGCAATTGCATTCAGGTTAAATAAAAAAAAAAGATTCAATTTTTATGTATGTTGATGTTTCAATCACAAAATATAAGAATCACAAAGTTCAACTGTAATATTATTACTCATTCACCCACTATCGCATAGGGTCTATCTGCAATATATATTTTGGTACAAATTGCTCACAGCTTAATGCAAAATATAAGAATAAAAAAGTTTCAATTTTTATGTATATTAATCCGACTACTTTTTTTTACCCTCTTACAGTGGAGCAGAGGATGTCGCATTGATAGAATACGCTCGCTTGACCGGCCGGCCCTTCAGAGTCTTCAGCCTCGACACCGGTCGCCTGAACCCTGAGACATACAGATACTTCGACGAGATCGAAAAGCACTACAACATCCACATTGAATACATGTTTCCGGATGCAGTCGAGGTGCAAAACCTCGTCAGAACCAAAGGCCTCTTCTCCTTCTATGACGACGGCCACCAAGAATGCTGCGGGGTCCGCAAGGTCCGCCCATTGAGGCGAGCCCTCAAAGGCCTTAGAGCCTGGATCACCGGGCAACGAAAGGACCAGTCACCTGGAACCAGGGCCCACATCCCTGTTGTCCAAATCGACCCTTCGTTCGAAGGGGTCGACGGTGGAGCTGGAAGCTTGGTTAAGTGGAACCCTGTGGCGAACGTCGACGGGAGTGACATCTGGAATTTCCTCAGAACGATGGGTGTTCCAGTGAACTCTCTGCATTCAAAAGGGTATGTGTCAATTGGTTGTGAGCCGTGCACGAGACCAGTGTTGCCAGGGCAGCACGAACGAGAGGGGAGGTGGTGGTGGGAGGATGCGACGGCGAAGGAGTGCGGGCTGCACAAGGGTAACATCTCTGGAAATGAATCGAATTCGAAGGGTGTCAACGGTGTTTCCACTCTCAATACAGTGAACGGAACATCTGACATATTTAAGACTCAGGCTATCATTAACCTCTCGAGGCCAGGGATCGAGAATTTGCTGAGGATGGAGAAGAGGACGGAGCCGTGGCTAGTTGTGCTCTACGCTCCCTGGTGTCGATTTTGTCAGGCGATGGAGGGTTCGTACATGGAGTTGGCTGAGAGGTTATCAGGATCAGGTGTTAAAGTTGCAAAGTTCAGGGCGGACGGTGATCAGAAACTGTTCGCTCAGCGAGAACTGCAGCTGGGGAGTTTCCCGACGATACTGTTCTTTCCTAAGTGTGGCTCTAGACCGGTGAAGTATCCCTCGGAGAAGAGGGATGTTGATTCTCTGCTAGCTTTCATCAATGCGCTCCGATGAACTTTTGTGAAATATTGTAGTACATGATGAGAGTTCCCCTGTGTACTTCATTTCAATCTGTTACAAGTTTTGTCCTTCTTTCATTAGTGTGATATATCAGTGAGTGATCTTTGGCTGCATATACTTGTATTTGTTTTTTTGGAGAATAATATGATCAAACATCATACAACTACTCCATTGAAAGTGTACATATATGACACTAACCAACAGATCAAGCAGAAATCGAGTAGAGAAGAACAAGTGACCGACTCAGATCACCAAAAGTCCCCGCAAGAACAAGAAGCTCCTCTGAAATGGTGGAATCTGCTCCGATCCCTGACGACGATTTCACGATCATAAATCTTCGAAATCAACTTCATTGCAGCGTGACAATCGTTACAAATCCTTAAATTCTTCGTAATTCGAATAGTAGTTGCAGGATCACTTTTGATCAGTCCGAATGCAATAGCCAACTTCTCACTGTGATGACAGAGTGCAGTCTCCTTCTCCTCTTCATCCATGTCGAGCAATATTTGGTCTGTTTCAGGCTTATATCCTGCTGATTTAAGCTCTACCATCATCCTGTCGACCATTCGATAGACCTCTCTTCTATCGGGATGGAAATTATCCCCAGCAATAAACTCATGAACGCTTCCTTCCAGTTCTATAACGCTGCTTCCAGGGGTTTTATCTACTCCATTCTCCTTCATCATTCTCCTCAACGTAACAACTTCTTCCCATTTCCCATTTGCTGCATATATGTTCGATAGAAGCATGTATCGCCCGCTGTTATTTGGTTCTAACTCTAGGAGTTCCTTCCCTATTTTCTCACCCAGCAGCGTATTTCCATGGATTCTGCAGGAGTTGAGCAAGGCTCCCCAAACCGCACTATTCGGCTTCATGGGCATCTCTTTGATTACTTCCTGAGCACGGTCTAGCATTCCACTGCGACCATAGAGGTCGACTAAGCAACAATAATGCCGAACATTGGGCTTCAACCCATAAACGTTACTCATCGACTTGAAGTGTTTCAATCCCTCGTCGACCAGCCTGCAATGACTGCACGCATTCAGAACGCCAATGAACGTCACCTCATTCGGCAAAACTCTATCATTTTCCATCTCCGCGAATAGCCGCAACGCTTCTCTACCCCGACCATTGACAGCTAGACCAGCTATCATCGCGCTCCAAGCCATCACATTCTTCTCCTTCAAACCGTCAAATATCCCGAAAGCCCTCTCGACGCAGCCGCACGTCAAGTACATATCAATCAACGCCGTGCCAATCCTCACACCAATACGCACCCCCTTCCTCCTCAGATAACTCTCTATCCACCTCCCTTGCTCCAAGGCTCCAAGATAAGCACACGCCGAAATCACGTTCACAAATACGCTCTCGTTCGGCTCGACGCCCCCAACCAACATCTCCCTAAACAACCCCAACCCTTGTTGGGAATATAAGCTGTTTAGAGTGTAATTAGCACAAAATGCAGTTTTAACAGAATTAGATAATGATTAAAAATAGATATAAAATTAAACTGAGTTTAGAATATAGCCTGATGGTCGAGGCGTGCAAGCACTGTCCCAAGAAACTAATTGCCCCCTCTCGTACAGGGCTACGCGGCAAAAGTCCCCGGAGATACAACGACCCTCGGTCAGGCGACCTCCTTCTCGTCGGCACGAGCTTCAAGAAGGCTTTGCGAACTCTTCTAGACTTTCAGGGAACCAGCAAGTTGTAATAGCAAGCAAGTGTAAGAAGAAGAACAGAGCTGAGAAGGAAGAGGAGAATTTTGTGTTTTTCACACTGTGTTTTCTACCCTCGCAGCTTGCTGTTTATATAGAGGTTGAGAATGAACGTTTTTCAATACCGAATTAAACCTCATAAAAACCTTTTTTTCCGTTTTGATTCTGTTTTAATTCTCATGAATATTACCGTTTCATTTACGTTTTAATTCAGTTATTCTCATGAATATTACCGTTTCATTTACGTTTTAATTCAGTTTTAAAGTTCATAAATCTCTCCAATTAATTCTGGTCGTTAAACATTTTAAAAATGTTAATCACGTTTTAAACAGTTCTAATTAGTAAAAATAAAAATGTTAGCATATTAAGGGCCCATTAATCCGGAGCTGCATTCGTGTCCGCAGGTCGTGTGCGCGCGCCACCCGACCCGACCCGAACCCGAGCCCGAGCCCGGCCCGGCCGGCGCGCGCGTGTGTGGTGTGGAGCATAACCTTTTGTTTTCTTCTAGGCATAGGAGAGAAAGGGAAGGCTTATAAAGAGCCTATCTTCCCATCTCTTTTCCAATGTGGGACTAATCTTTTCCTCTACAAACCCAAGTTTTTAAGTTATAACTCCAACAATCCCCCACATAACTTAAAACTTGAAATAGCTCAGAAATACTTGAAATAGCTCAGAAATAAGAATAAAATAAAAACTTAAAAATAAATAAGATTGCTGGTTCCCTTATACTATGTAATAGGTGGAGGTACCTTTCGGTTTGAACCTTCACTTAGTGACAGTTGTATAGATCCGTGAGAGCTTGGTGGACTTCGCCTTGAACCAGTCTCATTTATCGGATTTCTACAGAAAGCACACATAGTACAGTTTTGAAGAATTCTAAACGGGTTGCGCTATTATCGGCCTTGCGCAGGTATCTTTCATGTGTGTTACTAGGGAGCAGCCCTGATCCCATAGTCGCGGCCTCACAACTACACACATATAGGTGAATCCTAATAAGGATGCGAGCAAGTAAGCATCCTGCCTCATGGGTCTTGGATTCATTAAGAGTTAGACTCAACCTTTCACTTGCTTTTTATGAGCACTGATCATCCTAGGGATGGGAGCAAATAAATTCAGTGCTCCTCACAATTAATCACTCATTCAGTTTGTTTCTACCCATTGAACCTCTGCGAGGTTGGGTTGCCACTGCAGTGATTTTTCTTATGGGCTTAACCCCATCCCCCTCGATGATTCTAGGACCACTGCCCTAGATAAGCCTTTAGTTAAGTGATCTGCAAGATTTTTCTCTGATCTTACAAAATCTAAGGCTATTATATGGTTTTTCATCTTATATCTCAAGGATTTATGTCGCACTTTCAAGTGTCGATTCATCTTCACATTTGCATTCTCTTGATGGCATTTGTCAATCGCTGACCTGCAATCACAATGAATAGAAATGGCTGGTAATGGTTTTTGCATTAGTGGAATTTCAGTTAGTAAATCTTTCAACCATTCAGCTTCTATACTAGTAGTATCAAGAGCTATCATTTCTGATTCCATTGTACTTCTAGCCATTACAGTTTGTTTAGTAGATTTCCAGGACACAGCTCCTCCTCCTAAAAGGAACACAAATCCTGTGGTGGATTTTACATCTACTGAGTCACTAATCCAATTTGCATCTGAATAACCTTCTAGTACAGATGGATAACCTTTATAGTGTAAACCATAATTCATAGTTCCTTTTAGGTATCTCAAAACTCTTTCTAGAGCATCCCAGTGACTCTTATCAGGATTTGATGTATATCTACTAAGTCTATTTACTGCATAAGCAATGTCAGGTCTGGTGTAGTTTGTTAGGAATCCTAGTGATCCAATTATTTGTGCATATTCTCTTTGTAATTGAGGATGACCTGTATTTTTCTTTAGATGTACATTAGGATCATATGGAGTGGAAACAGGTTGACAGTTTGGATCATAAAAATTCTTAAGGATTTTCTCTATGTAGTGTGATTGTGATAGCACATATCCATTCTCATTTTTCATGATTTTAGTATTAAGAATTAGGTCAGCTTGACCTAAATCTTTCATGTCAAAATTTTGTGATAAAAAGTGTTTGATATCATTTATGATTTGTATGTCAGAACCAAAAATAAGAATGTCATCAACATATAGGCATAATATCACAATTTTGTTGTTTTTATCTATTTTATGATATACACACTCATCTGTTTGATTAATTACAAATCCATAAGATAGTATAATTTCATCAAATTTCATATGCCATTGTTTTGGGGCTTGTTTGAGACCATATAGTGATCTAATAAGCTTGCATACTTTCTTTTCTTGTCCAGAAGCTATAAATCCCTCAGGTTGATCCATATAAATTTCTTCATCTAAGTCTCCATTTAAAAATGCAGTTTTAACATCCATTTGATGTATTATTAATTTGTGAATGGATGCTAGAGCTATGAGGACTCTAATGGTAGTAATCCTAGCTACTGGAGAATAGACATCAAAATAATCAATACCAGACTTTTGGGTATATCCTTTAGCTACTAATCTGGCTTTATATTTATCTATTGTTCCATCAGGTCTAAGTTTCTTCTTAAACACCCATTTACATCCTATGGTTTTACATCCTGAAGGAAGATCAGTTAGTTCCCAAGTATGATTTTGAACTATAGATTGTATCTCATTATTTATAGCTTCCTTCCAAAATGGAGCATCTACTGATTTCATTGCATCTTCAAATGTAACTGGAGAATCTTCTACAAGTAATGCATAGAAATCTTCATGGACCTTTTCTATTCTAGTTCTTTTACTTCTCCTAGGCTCCTCTGGACTTTCTAGTGGTCTAATTTGTTTAGAACTAGTTTCACCTTGATTAGAACTAGGATCTGAATTATTAGAGCTAGGGCCTGTGTTGTTTATTCTGGTCTTGTAAGGAAAAATATTTTCAAAGTAATGTGCATCCCTAGCTTCAATTATGGTGTTGTTGGCTATCTCATTAATGTCAGAGTTGATTATTAAAAATCTATTTGCATTACTATCAGAAGCATAGCCAATAAAAATTCCATCTACAGTTTTAGGGCCAATCTTCTTTCTTTTATTCTCAGGTATTTTGACTTTTGCTAAGCACCCCCACACTTTTAGGTGATCTAAATTAGGGTTTCTATTCTTCCAAATTGTGTAAGGGGTTTTATCAGATTTCTTGAATGGAATTCTATTTAGTATATGACATGCAGTCATGAGAGCTTCTCCCCATAAATTTTCTGGCACACCAGAATTAATTAACATTGAGTTTACCATGTCCATTAGTGTTCTATTCTTTCTCTCAGCTACTCCATTAGATTGAGGTGTATATGGAGCTGTTATTTCATGAATAATTCCATTCTCTTCACAGAATTGTTTTAATTCATTAGAAGTGTACTCACCACCTCTATCTGATCTTAGTATTTTAATTTTCCTATCCAACTGATTCTCAACTTCTGCTTTGTATATTTTGAATTTGTTTATGACTTCATCTTTAGTCTTAATTAAGTAGAGGTAACAATATTTAGAGCAATCGTCTATAAAAGTTACAAAATATTTGTTACCCCCTCTAGTTGTTCTTCCTGAATCACAAACATCACTATGGATGAGTTCTAATATCTCAGAATCTCTATCAATAGTTTTAAATGGTTTCTTAGGAAGTTTGGCTTCTACACATATTTCACATTTTTCATCATCTTTTATATTAAGCTTTGGAATTATATTGAGATGCATCAATCTTTTAATTGAATTATAATTCACATGTCCTAATCTTTGATGCCAAGTGATGGAAGGTTCAATATTCAAAGCTATTGGAGATGCAAGAGTAGAATTCTTAACATTCAATTTAAAAAGACCATCACATAAGAAACCTTTTCCAATGAAGTTCAAACCCTTAGTTATTACAACTTTATTTGATTCAAAAACAAGCTTATAGCCTTGTTGCACTAACAAAGATCCACTAATTAAGTTTCTCCTAATGTCTGGTACATGATGGACATCCTGCAGGATCAAAGTCTTATCAGAAGTCAGCTTTAGGTTGATCCGACCTATTCCGGATACAGGAGCCACATTATTATTTCCCATTGTCACAGTTCCTCTACTTGAGACCTGATAGGTGGAAAACAAAGATTGATTAGAGCAAACGTGAATATTAGCTCCAGTGTCAATCCACCAATCATTTGCTTGAAAGGTCATGTTTACTTCAGGAGTGAAGAGAACAGACCTGAAAGCAGCCTCAGCTGGACTGGAAGTCACCATGTTTACTTGTGACTTATTAGGTGGAGGTCCTCCCTTCCTAGGCTTGGGTGGTTCAGTTTTCTTGAAAAAGCAGTCCTTAGCAAGATGGTTGGTTCTTCCACAAACGAAGCAGGCTCGACGTTCAGCTCCTTCCTTCTTTTGAAAGTGGACAGGGTTCTTATTTTGATGAAAGGATTTCTTCTTAAATGTTTTATTTTGATTTTGGTGGAAGGGACGTTTCTTGTGTTGGGGAAAGGGTTTGGATTCAACATTGTTTACTTTGGGTTCTTTGGGTTCGGATTTTGTCACATTTTTCTCCCTGAGTCTATGTTGCTCTTCAATTCTAATGGAATTCAACACTTGTTCTAGTGTAAGATCTCCTTGGGTATGGTTAAGGTTTTTGGCAAAATCTGACCAGGACTCGGGAAGTTTGTCTATAAGACATGCTATTTGAAACGTTTCATCTAGGATAGATCCATTCATTTTTAATTGGTGAACTATATGTTCAAATTCATGAATTTGCTCATTCATTGGTTTAGAATCTACCATTTTAAATTTGTTAAAATCAGAAGCTTTAAATCTTTTAATTCCCATATCATCTAAACCATACTTTTTCTCTAAGGTTTCCCACAAAACTATAGCATTAGTGATAGTATAATATATATCATATAACCTATCAGATAAAGCTCCTAAGATTCTGTGTAGACAATGATACTCTATTTCTTGAGGTGTTCTTGGGATAGGAATGGAATCTGTGGAGGAAGATGAGGAAGATTGCCTAGTAACTGGTCTAGATGAAGATGGGTTATCTGGTTCTATAGCTGTTATTAGATGTAGGGTTGTTAACCAAAATCTCATTTGGTTTTGCCAACGACGGAAATTATTCCCATCAAACTTCTCTGGTTTAGCAGACATAACTTCACTTGTAGACATAATCTGATTATGAATGAATAGTTTTGTTATTATAATGCAACAGAAATATATTGGTTTTGCCAACGACGGAAATTATTCCCATCAAACTTCTCTGGTTTAGCAGACATAACTTCACTTGTAGACATAATCTGATTATGAATGAATAGTTTTGTTATTATAATGCAACAGAAATATATAAAGCATTCATTCAACAAAATAATCATGCAGCGTAACATTTCGTTTTTAAGTATTGCAGACATCATTAACATGAAAATCAGAATGCTAATCATGATACTATTCTAAACAGCACTTATTAGTTTTAGAGTGTAATTAGCACAAAATGCAGTTTTAACAGAATTAGATAATGATTGAAAATAGATATAAAATTAAACTGAGTTTAGAATATAGCCTGATGGTCGAGGCGTGCAAGCACTGTCCCAAGAAACTAATTGCCCCCTCTCGTACAGGGCTACGCGGCAAAAGTCCCCGGAGATACAACGACCCTCGGTCAGGCGACCTCCTTCTCGTCGGCACGAGCTTCAAGAAGGCTTTGCGAACTCTTCTAGACTTTCAGGGAACCAGCAAGTTGTAATAGCAAGCAAGTGTAAGAAGAAGAACAGAGCTGAGAAGGAAGAGGAGAATTTTGTGTTTTTCACACTGTGTTTTCTACCCTCGCAGCTTGCTGTTTATATAGAGGTTGAGAATGAACGTTTTTCAATACCGAATTAAATCCTCAAAAAAACCTTTTTTTCCGTTTTGATTCTGTTTTAATTCTCATGAATATTATCGTTTCATTTACGTTTTAATTCAGTTTTAAAGTTCATAAATCTCTCCAATTAATTCTGGCCGTTAAACATTTTAAAAATGTTAATCACGTTTTAAACAGTTCCAATTAGTAAAAATAAAAATAAAAATGTTAGCATATAAAACTCGGACCCATTAATCCGGAGCTGCATTCGTGTCCGCAGGTCGTGTGCGCGCGCCACCCGACCCGACCCGAACCCGAGCCCGGCCCGGCCGGCGCGCGCGTGTGTGGTGTGGAGCATAACTTTTTGTTTTCTTCTAGGCATAGGAGAGAAAGGGAAGGCTTATAAAGACTCTTCCTTCCTATTCCATTTCCTATGTGGGACTAAACTTTTTCTCTTTTCCTCTACAAACCCAAGTTTTTTAGTTATAACTCCAACAACCCCTCCTTAAACAGGCTCCCCCTCACAAACCCGTTAATCATAACACTCCAACAAACAACATCTCTGTCACCCGCCTCGTCGAACATCCTCCGTGCGTCCCCAAACAACCCGCACTTCATCAAACCCCCCAGCATCACGTTCCTCGACGCGTCGTCAAACTCCTCCACTCCATCAAACACAGCCCGCGCGGAATCAATCACAACCCCGCGCTTACATGTGTAACCGAGGAGTTGGATATCGCTGGACGTCCGACGCGAGGCCCGGCTTAGATGAGTTGCAACTGTACCGTCTCGCCGAACCGGGCGCGCCCCAGGGAGTGGGTTTGGCGTGACGGGTGCTGAGGTGGGGGTGGCGAGGAGTGGTGGAGGGCTGGCTGTGGGCATGGTGGGTTTTCTGAGAATCTCAAAGTTAAAGTAGAAATTTCTGACATTTTAAATGTTATGGGGTGTTATCTAAAAAACTCTCAAACCTGAGAGATCCCCCTTCACTACAGGGGTGTTTGGTAGTTTGAAAGTAAATTGAAAATATGTAAATAAATTATTATTGAAAGTGAAATGTGAAGAGTTACTAGTTTGTCACTGTTATGTGACCTTATTATTTTTTTAGGAAAGTCAAAATTGTATTAAATATTATGTAGCAACTTTCTTATATTACACCATTGTGACCGATTGCATACAAACAAACACCTAAACTTTTAAAAGAAGATCACCTTCTCGGTTTCATCTTTCACTTGTATGCAAACAAACGACCCCTAAAATAGGGTCACTTGTGTAGACGTCAAAAATGCTTACAGACATCCAAATGTCACTCAAGACAAAGAGAAGGTGATAAACATCAGTATCTAAGTCATGGGAGATCATACAAGCCCAAAGGAAGCAAAAGGATTTGTGAATCAACACAAAACAATGTGAATTCACAGAACAATGCAAACTACAGCGTGTGGGCGCGGCAGCTCATGGTGCCGCGGCTACAGCGCGGCAGCTCATAGTGCCGCTTAAAGGTCGTGGGAGAACTGTTTCAAACACGTATGAACGTGGGTGTAACTGCCCCTTTAGCCGCGGCAGTGTCGACTGTCGCGCTCTTTGGCCGCGACAGTGTCGACTGTCGCGCCCTTTAGCCGCGACAGCATCAGCTGCCGCGCCTAAAGAGACAGTTATTGACCGGCTATTTCTTCAGTTATCGTCTAAGGAGGCTATAAATACCCCCCTATAGCCATCATTGACAGGGGCTGAGCATTTTCCAGAGAGATTAGAGCAGAGAGCCTTGAGTTTTGGTGAATTAGAGCAAGAGAGAGAGTCTTCCTTCTTCACAAACATCCTCAAGAAGCTTCTAGCGAGTCCTAGAGATCTAAGCTCAGACTTGATCTTTGGAAGAGTGAACATCTTACATCGATAAGATATTCGCTTCAAATTCTTACTTCGATAAACGAAGGAAGAATCATTAAACCCCTCACGGTTCAATCAGAATCTGTGGTTTGGTGGTCCACGAGTCAAAGCGCTCCCGGCACAGGCAAAGATCCCACGCGAGTAGCGATCCAAACAACGATCCTGCGTTTGTTTCTAAAAAGTTGTAACTTTCCTTTTGTTGTGTAAAAGAAGTCTTATAAAAAGGCTATTTCTTTTGAATTTGTTGTAATCGACCGAAGATATAATGAATTCCACAGCGAAGTCAACTTTTGACGAAAACAAGCTGGCGACCACAGTGGGAGCCAGCGGTCTCGCTGCCGAGACCGTCGTGTCGCAGCCGATCAAGATTCCAGTTGAATCCATGGTCGAATACGAATTCGACCAAACCAAATTTGAGGAATATCTCTCATCATCCTCTTCAAGATCTTCATTGTCTCACAAGTACAAGAGGATCTCACAATTGAGGAAGAGTTGCATGCCAAAGAAGGCACAAAATGAAGACTCTCGCTTGATTGTTGCTGAGAATTTCACTCGCAACACCTCTGCTAATCAAAGCCCACCGGCATTAACGAAAAGAGCTCGTCAGAGACAACGTCAACGCCATGCTCGCCAAATGGCTAAATCCTTGGAACAAACCGACGGGGTTCGTTACCACGCGGACCTAGAGTCGAGGAGACATCGAGTGGTTCAGTTATCTCAACAACCAATCACTCGTATCTCTGCTAAAACAACGACGGATGAATGGACTATTGTCAAAAAGACTCGTTCGACCCTCAAAGAACGTATACAAAAACGTCGTGCAAAAGCTGCTAATGCCCATGCTCTCTCACAACAAAGACGAGAAAAGAGAAAGGAAATGGTGACCAAAGAATCACCAAAACTTCGTCAAGTTTGGATTCCAAAGTCTGGACTTATGCAAAATCAGCATTCGGAGCCCGTTAAGACTCCATACCCACAAGGGGGTGGTTCTAAACGTGCGACTCCCGACATAACCTTGGATCGCTTAAAGACAAAAATAAATTGTCCTGAGAATGCCAACAAGGTTTTATACTCCCAGAAGAAGACGCATTCACCAAATGATATCGTCATACCTGGGAGATCATACCAACAGACGATACGATTTTTTGGCAATCATACCAATGAATCGTATTATCAAATTGAGGTTGTGAATAATTTTCGAAAGAGAGTTATTCGAGAGATAAACTCTCGTTGTTCCTGTGCACGACTCGTCAAAACAGCATTATCAGAATGTGACTGTTTCAAACGAGAAATCATCCCACGAAAAGTCTCTGCATTATCAAAGCCTAAGCTGAGACATTTCCGCAAAAGAAAATCAGCTGCCCAAAATGATGAATTCCCTGAAGTCACCATCAACGTAGCTGATAGAAGAAAGTCTAAACAGCATTCAAGTGACTCAAATCCCGACTTTTCCCCGAAAGGAAAAGTCAATCCAAGAATTGCTCAAAGGATGTCTCGACTCCAATTAGGAGCTATCAGACGCAGAGACTACAAGAGAATGCAAGAAGGAATGTCCTCGGAGGATGAATTCTCGGACACTTATTCTGCAATCGCTTCTGATGATACAATGTCTAGCACAGGACAAATCAGAGAAGTATTCACAATCACTGCTGATCAGTTCACTCAAATACTTCAGGAAGCTCTAGCCAAACAACGTGAAGAAATTAGAGCTGAAGTGAAGACAGAAATGAAGTTGGCTATCCAACAAATGAGAGAACTGTTAACTCAACAGCCTCAACCTCCTGAGTCCAATCAGCGACTTGAATCCAGCCACCACACTCGGAATGTTGTAGAGGACAGTGATCCAGAGGTGGATGAAGTCATTATGGCTGATACACCTCCCAATGACAATAACGCTGGGGGTGGTTTAACGGATCCTCCCAATAACGATATTGGGGGTGGTTCAATAGCACCTCTCACTGGGGGTGGTCCAATTATCTTTACTCGACATCATTCAGAAAGAAATGAAGACGATGACGGGAAAATGCAAAAACTTGAAGACAAAATCAATGCTTTGATGACGGCTCAAGAAGTTAAGAAGACGGGTATTCCATGTCCTTATCCGAGGGAATGGGATTCAATACCATACCCGACCAAATTCAATCTGATTAACTTCACACCGTTTGAAGGGAAGAGTTCGCCGATTCAACACTTGATTTATTTCAAGTCTCATTTGGGCATAATCTCTGGAAACGAGGCCTTAATGATCCGGTCATTCGTTGGCACCCTTCGTGGGCCCGCCTTCGATTGGTACCGACGGCTCAAGCCAGGGAGCATCAATTGCTGGGATGACATGGAAAGTTTGTTCCTCAGCAACTTCTTCGATGATGACACCGAAGTGTCAATCGGAACTCTTTTGGATGAGAAGCAAAAAGACGGAGAGTCAGTCGACAATTTTGTCAAGCGTTTCCGTAACATGGCGATGAATTGCAGAGATCCTATTACAGAGGAGTTCATCCTGCAAACATGCCACAATAACCTCTCCATCGATGTCCTGGAAGCTCTGGGGGTCGTGCCATCCACAACTTGGAAGGAGTTAAAATCTCGGGGTGAACAAGCTGAGCACTTTCTTAAAAGAAAGAAAGCTGAGAGAGGCCAACCAATGACATCTGCAATCATTGAGAATGCGACTCTCGATCCGAGGTTTCAAAAGGAATATTCTTTCGAAGATGATGAAGCTCCAGCCATCTTGGAATACCTCCTCGCTAATGACAAAATCGAGCTACCACCTATTAAAGATCAGGATGGTGCTAAAATGATTATGGATCCAAATTACTGTGCGTACCACAGAAGGGTTCTTCATCCCACTGAGATTTGCTTTGGACTCAAAAACAAGATCCAAGCCCTAATTGACTCCGGCGTCATAACGACGAAAGAAGTCGAGTAAAGACGACCATAAAACTCCATTGGGTACACGAGTATAAACTGTTTCCCCTCACTCCGAAAAGTATACGAGTATAAACTGCTCCTTAATACTCCAACAGGTATATGAGTCTAAACTATTTCCTTTCTTTCACGGGAAGTTCCTGAAGAATGCCATGCATGGTACTTTTAAGGATAACCCGATCATATAGCTAAACATAATGATAAACTCAGTTTCACAAGAAAAAGCTGGGGGTGGATGGTTCATGTAACGGAAGTTCCCGAAAGAATGCTATATGTAATTTTCTTAGGAATAACCCGATCATTACAAACAAAGTGTTAAACACTACATCCCCACGGTGATTTCCGAATATTCATTTGCTGAGATGAGATTCGATCACTTCGTTGGATCAATCTTCCCTCTCAAACCCTCCTTTGGTCAAACCTTTAAACAGTTAGGACCAAAGCCAAAATCCCCTCTCGATTCGTTCCATGAACGAGAGGTCCACAAATTGAACGATCAAACCTTTAAACAGTTAGGATCGTCTCAAATCCCCATCTTGGTCAAACCTTTAAACAGTTAGGACCAAAGCCAAAATCCCCTCTCGATTCGTTCCATGAACGAGAGGTCCACAAATTGAACGATCAAACCTTTAAACAGTTAGGATCGTCTCAAATTCCCATCTTGGTCAAACCTTTAAACAGTTAGGACCAAAGCCAAAATCCCCTCTCGATTCGTTCCATGAACGAGAGGTCCACAAATTGAACGATCAAACCTTTAAACAGTTAGGATCGTCTCAAAACTCCAACTTGGTCAAACCTTACTACAGTTAGGACCAAAACCAAAATCCCCTTTCGATTCCTTCCATGAACGAGAGGTCCAGCTTCGATTTGTGCAATCAAAACTATAAAAGTTAAGATTGCTTCCAATCTCAATTGATCAAACCTTATTCAGATTCTCTGAATAGAAATCCCAATTTAAATTTCCTTTGTACCAGGAGATAGAATATAAAATTCTTCCTCTCCGATTCCGGGTTCATCTCTACCAACAAACAAGAGACCAGGAGATAGAATATAAAATTCTTCCTCTCCATCATCGGGTTTATCTCTACCAACAAACAAGAGACCAGGAGATAGAATATAAAATTCTTCCTCTCCATCATCGGGTTCATCTCTACCAACAAACAAGAGACCAGGAGATAGAATATAAAATTCTTCCTCTCCATCATCGGGTTCATCTCTACCAACAAACAAGAGACCAGGAGATAGAATATAAAATTCTTCCTCTCCATCATCGGGTTCATCTCTACCAACAAACAAGAGACCAGGAGATAGAATATAAAATTCTTCCTCTCCATCATCGGGTTCATCTCTACCAACAAACAAGAGACCAGGAGATAGAATATAAAATTCTTCCTCTCCATCATCGGGTTCATCTCTACCAACAAACAAGAGACCAGGAGACAGAATATAAAATTCTTCCTCTCCATTATCGGGTTCATCTCTACCAACAAACAAGAGACCAGGAGATAGAATATAAAATTCTTCCTCTCCTATGTTACGCAACTTCCTCAACAAAGTACTGAAGAAATTGCAAGGAAAACTTATCATATCCAAAGTGTCCCAGACTCCTCTTCAAAATGATGAGTCTGTGATACTTTGGAGGGGGTATCTGTAGACGTCAAAAATGCTTACAGACATCCAAATGTCACTCAAGACAAAGAGAAGGTGATAAACATCAGTATCTAAGTCATGGGAGATCATACAAGCCCAAAGGAAGCAAAAGGATCTGTGAATCAACATAAAACAATGTGAATTCACAGAACAATGCAAACTACAGCGTGTGGGCGCGGCAGCTCATGGTGCCGCGGCTACAGCGCGGCAGCTCATAGTGCCGCGGCTAAGACGCGGCAGTTCATAGTGCCGCGGCTTGGGCGCGGCAATCCATGGTGCCGCGGCTACTATAGGGGATGCTACAGCGGTTACGAGGTAGTTATGTGATGATTATGTGAAGTCTACGTGGCGGCGTATCAGAAATAGAACGTGTGCTGACGTGTACAAGCAGTTAAACCACGAAAAAGGTGGTTAAAAGTCGTGGGAGGACAGTTTCAAGCACGATGGAACGTGCTGGTAACTGCCCCTGTGGCCGCTGCAGTTCATGCTGCCGCGCCAATAGCCGCTGCAGTCCGGGGTGTCGCGGTCAAAGGGATAGTCGTTGATCGGCTATTTCTTCAGTTATTGTCCAAGGAGGCTATAAATACCCCCCTATGGCCATCATTTAGAAGGGGCTGAGCATTTCCAAAGCAGATTAGAGCAGAGAGCCTTGAGTTTTGGTGAATTAGAGCAAGAGAGAGAGTCTTTCTTCTTCACAAACATCCTCAAGAAGCTTTTGGCCATTCCTAGAGATCTAAGCTCTGACTTGATCTTTAGAAGAGTGAACATCTTACATCGATAAGATATTCGCTTCAAATTCTTACTTCGATAAACGAAGGAAGAATCATTAAACCCCTCACGGTTCAATCAGAATCTGTGATTTGGTGGTCCACGAGTCAAAGCGCTCCCGGCACAGGCAAAGATCCCACGCAAGCAGCGATCCAAACAACGATCCTGCGTTTGTTTCTAAAAAGTTGTAACTTTCCTTTTGTTGTGTAAAAGAAGTCTTATAAAAAGGCTATTTCTTTTGAATTTGTTGTAATCGACCGAAGATATAATGAATTCCACAGCGAAGTCAACTTTTGACGAAAACAACTTGAGCCCACTTTGGTGACGGTGGATCCGCCCTATGCCGGAGACCAATGGCCTGCAGATGACGAGCCATATTGACTCCTCCTCTACGCGTCGTTGGTTCCTCACTTCAACAACTCTCATCCATCCTGCCGCCCGAGTTCCATTATTCGGATCCGGTCATGTTTTTGGTATCAAGTGCAAAGTATTCACTATTTTTTTATTTTTCTTTGCAATAATTGTTGCAGTGCTGAAAGATGAAAATGAAATTAAAAAAAAGGTAAAAAAAAAGAAGACAAATTGAGTAGGTACCAGAAGTCGACAAAAGAAAAGACTCGCATGGGTATCTTTGTACATTCACGGACTGAGAAGCTCTGGGCCTGGATAGTTCGGTAGTCCTCGGCCCCTGGCCCATACGTAGGCCACCAAAGGCGTCCATCTCGATGTAAATCCCCACATGGCCCACATTTTTCACCCTGTGACCACTAATCTACATTATATACTGAGCGCAGTCTAATAATATTCTAATGCCTACTTTAGATCCACAAAGTTGAAATATGAAAAAGTTACACTGCTAAAATCAAAGTAAAGTATTGCAATAAACATTTTATAAATCATCAACTTTCGAGATAAAAAGCCCCGCATGCTCCGTTACCGGACATAACCTTTTCTCCGAAACAATCTCTCTCTGTCGGCCACCAGCATTTTATGAATTTTGCAACATTGAAAATTTAGGGAGTTTGGTTTGGGGGTTAAGCGTCCCCCCTAGAAGGACAAATTTTCAAAACAGTCCCATTTACAAAAATATTTATAAAAACGACCTCATTTGAAAATAATTGTCAAAATCAACCCAATCTGAGCCGATTTTGACAATTATTTTCAAATAAGATCTTTTTTTACGATTAGATTTAAAAATAGGACTGTTTTGAAAATTTGTCCTAAAAAGAATACCATACCATGTGTAGAGATTTTTTCATAGCGACAAAATTTTCAAACCTCCAATATTATTAAAAATAAAATAAAATTCAAGCAATTGTTATAATATTTTTGCCCCCCACCATATTGTCGTTCGCAGTCCCCTCTTAATTCCTACCGACCAAATCTAACAAACGCACCGGTCCGCCCCCCCCCCGCCCCGTAATGCGCGCACCGCCGACGAACGATGGCGAAAACCCCGCGCTTCTCGCTCCTGCCTCCTCGCTCCTCCTGCTGTTACGCGCATGGCGATCTCGGCGCCGGAGGCCCCGGGCACGACCGGGAAGGCGGAGCCGTTCGTCGGCGTCAGCTATCGCACACGGGTCCTCCGACTCCTCCCCCGCCGACCTGGCCGCGCTTTCCTTCCGCTCGGCAGCGGAATAACGCACGTCCGCCTCTAGCGACGCCACCCACCCTCGCCTCCTGCTCGCGCCCTCAACCTCACCGGCGGCGGCCTCCGCTCCTCCTCGCCATCCCAACTCCCAGCTCGCTCGCCCTCCGCTCCTCCCCCGCCTCCTCCTCCGGCCTGGGTCTCCGCCACGTGGCCCTTCCGCCCCCTCGTCTCAGCGTGGCCACTCGCGACAGACGTCCTCGCCTCCTTCCGCCCCCGCCCTCCCCTGGCGTCCGCCCTCCTGCCGCCTCCCTCGCGCCAATCCTCTGCCGCCTTCAGCCCCCAATCCCCGTCCTCCACCACCGCTTGAGCTTCGACCTCTGCCTCGTCAACCACATCTCCCCCCTCGCAGGCCTTCTTCAACAGGCCCTCGCCGACTCCTCGTCTCCCCCGCTCGCTGCGCTCCTTCTCCGCGGCGCCGCCTCCCCTGATGGTCAACCTCCTACCCGCTACTACTCCTAGTGGCCGGCCGCGGGGTCGTCACGCGGCTGGGCGCGCGCTGTTCGCGGCAGAACGGGCGCCGGCGAAGGAGATGGTGACCCCAACACCGCTCGCAACTACCCAGCGTGTTCGACGGCATGGTCGACGCGCTCGTACTTCTCGATTGAGGAACCTCAACGTGACCGGCGTGCGGTCCTGGTGCAGCGGAGACCGGGTGGCCCTCTTTCCGCTCGGGTCGGGGGCCTGAGCGGCGTGCCACCAGGGACAGACGCCGAGCGTTCAACTCGAACGTGATGCAGGCAGCGTGCTGGGCCGTCCGGGACCACCGCGCACCCCGAGGCAGCAGCCCAGTGGCGTACATCTACGAGCTCTTCAACGAGGACCTGAGGCCAGAGGGCCGGTGTCCGAGAGGAACTGGGGCCTGTCTAACGACGGGACGCCGGTGCTACTGCCTGCTGGGTGAGGGGAGCGGGGGGTTCCTGGCCAAGGCAGCGAGCAAGGACTTTCTGCGTCGCGTACGGAGGACGGAGGAAGGCGGGTCGGACGCCAGCAGCTGCAGGCGGCGTTGGAACTGGCCCTGCGGCCCCCGCGGGGCAACTGCAAGGCGAGATACAGCCCGGGGAGGCGTGGCTACGACCGCCAACGACGTCAGGAGCGCTACGGCGTCGTACGCGTTCGATAGCCTACTACCAGATGGAAGGGAGGACGGCGGGTTCGTGCTACTTTCAGGGCGCGGCGATGGTCACCACCACCGATCCGAGTGAGCACGATGAGCAATCCCCTTCTTACTACACGTTCACAATTCGAATTTTGATATATATTCCCTCTAGCGTAGGATTCGCAAATGGTAATGCTAGGGTCTCACTAGAGTTCTGATGCAATGAAAATGGTGTTAGAGCACTCTAGATTCAAACTCCTCAAGTTCTGATGCCTAGAACTAGTAGTTCATGTTTCAAACCAGGAGAAGGACGCTCGACCCGCGAGGACATAATAAAATCCAACATCAATCCCATTAATTGCTTTAGAAACATATAGCAGCTTTTTAATTTCCTTAGATTTTGATTTATGCACAACATTAATAGGAGTAGTGCTTGTGATGGGGGTTATGATGGTGTTGCCCCCTTAATTTCTAGCTTGATTAACAATGAAGATTTGAGCTTGGTTAGTTGGTACTGGATGTTATGAGGCTGATTTTGATGGGGTTGATGGAATTTGGAGCTTTTTGTTTACTTTTCCTGTTCACTTTTGTCATCACAGCGTTGCGTAGCAATAGAGTAGAGAGAATAACCCGTGGAGAGAGAGAGAGAGAGAGAGAGGGAGAGGGTGCTGGATCCTGCTGTAAAATTTTGTTTCTTGTTGAGTACCCTGCTCGCCTCTTTTGTCCCCTTTTTTGGTCCTTCCTGCCATCAGAAAAGCTAGCTTATTTTCTCATTATGTTTCGAATATCACGGGTGGGAATTTGAGTAAACCTTCCTACTTACTGAAGCAATGTTCTCACTTCAACCCTCTTGTTGGGGGATCGTTGTCGCAGCTTGGTTCAATTCCCACCGTGGAGTTAGAAAAGGACTTTAAGATGGTATCAGAACAACCTTGGTTCAATTCCCACCGGCCACGAAGTTAAAGCGGGTTTTCTAAAAACTTTACGCCCTTGCGTTATAGTCCAGGTTTTAGTCTAGGTTTCAGCTCATGAGAGAGGGGTTCAACCGTTGAATAGTATAACCTTCGGTTTCCAAGCCAGACTCTGATGGATTCTTGTCAAGTTTGATGGTATGTTTCGCTGCTGGCTTTTCAAGGATCCACTTTCCATTTTTTTCCCACAGACCTATCCCCTATCTAACCGGAGTCTGCTTTGGATAATTTTTTTGTGGACTGCTAAGATAATGGACCACATTTTGATGCATCGATCATACGAGTATCCACCTAGTGTTTTTTTTTTTAATATTCAATAATATTCCTTATTTTTCTGGTGAAGGAATATCCAGCTATCATCCATCAGGTACCCATGACTCATAGATTATTACCATTGCTACACAGTTGAAACAATGTTTGCAGCCATGGTTGTGACACAATAACATTCAAATAAATGGTCATTTTTTTTTTGCCAACTGCTTACTAGCTTTCCAGTACTTTCTGATTCCAGCATATATAGCTGCTTAAATTCCCATCTAAATTCTGATGCATAAGATGGTTAGTTACTGATAAATAAAACCCGGTTATTTTTGCAGGTCATGGGGGCTGTGTCTTTCCTGGGAGGTGAGTTACAATAGCGTTACTTCCTCTCTCTCTCTCTCGCATTGCCACATTGTATACCAACAGAAAAACTGTTATATATGGCCATTGTTAGTAGGAGCAACGAGGAAAAAAAAAAAAAACACTTCATATACGACGACGATAGCGTATCCACTTATACCCTCCTTAAATATTTTGTTAGTATTTACACCCTCTGAACTTCAGACGACATTCGATCTCTCCCAACTTAGGCGACGATAAGTATAGTCGGTCACACCGCCATAGTACAATGATTTCGTATTTGCTATTAGGCCTGCTGTATATAGTTTTGGGATTTTGGCGCGTCGTCGCTTACCTATCCTTCCTTTTTGATGGGCAGCAAAGAGACGAGCAATGCCACCCGGGGAGGCGGAACCAATGCAAGCGAGATAAGCAAAGCCGATGGAGCTCGTGTGTGGCGGAGACCGAGAGCAAGAATTCAGCAACGCTCCCTCTGCGTTCTTCATGTACTTCTGAGCGTGATGACCGCAGTTGCTGTCTCCATTTGCTCCCCTTGGGCTTGATGGCATATCACAGCAAAGAACTCTTTCTTGTAAGAATATTGCGGGGGTTAAAAAAAAAATTCTTCCCCCGATTGAATTATTTTTTTCTCATCAATTTTGTAGCGTTGTAGGATGGCACATAAGTGTATGTAACCGTGTTGTATCCTCATTCCTTATTCAATAAAATTTCTGTTATGTCCTTGCAAGTAAGCTTATAGCCTTATGTTGCTTTCTTAAGTTTTGCAGGAGCGGCAAAATATATATTTTTCCTTTTCACTTCTTTTACCGTGCGTGACTCGTACGTTCACTAGATTATGGCTGGCTAACGCATTGCGAATGATACACATCTTTTTGATTCATCATTAATATAACAGAACAAAAACAATGAACATTTTCTCTTTGATTTGACGCTATGCTTTTTAATAAGTCTGTAATTCTCAAAATATATAGGCGTCACTTGTGTCCACTTTATATGCTTGGCCTCGGCAAAAAATGTGGACTGGGGAATTACCCCAAACATCGAACAAGGTTTATATTCTCTTTAATCAAATATTGATGATATCCAAAGGACAGGTTTAATTAAAAACTTAATTTTCGGCAAGAAGTGCAAAATTTTACATCCCGTACACAAGACTTTTTCCTCGGATCCGATCCGACAAAAAGTATCCGAACCCGACTACGTCCGCCCTCTAAATAAATTAGGACGAACGCTGCACACTTTCCAATTTCACCCCTTTAGATTAGTTAATTCCCCCCTCACTCACTCTCTCTCTCTCTTCCATCAAAAATTCAATTCCGGAAGGGGGAAAAAAAATCCAAATCCCAGCGATCGCCGTTGTGGATGGCGGAGGGATCAACGAGAGGCGAGAATGGTAACATCACCAACAGAAGCAATCTATTGAAGACGGATTCGATCGAATCGAGGTGGGTTTTCGAGGACGAGGACGGATCGAACAGCGACGGAGACGAAAGCGAGGGGTTTTCACGTGGAACGAGCTTCGATTCAGAGGATGAGGATGATGTCGGTGAGCAGAGGCTTGTTAGGACTGGGCCTAGGGTTGATTCCTTCGATGTTGAGGCTCTTGAGGTCCCTGGGGCTCATCGGAATGATTATGAGGTGAGAAATATTCGATCTTTGTTGCTGGTAAAAGTTACGTGTTGAAGTGAATTTAATGGTTGTTTTGTTTGCTGGGTAGGATTGATTAACTGGGGACTTGTTAAAAGTTGGCATTTTTTGAGCTTGTTTTTCATTAGAAGTATTGATTCTAGCGAGTTCATGATGTTGCTAGGGTTGGATACATGGGTTTGTTAGCGAACTGATTTTAAACTTGTTAGTTATGTTAACCTCGACCACCGTATTGTTACCATATAACACTACAACCCTCAATCCGAATTTGAACTTAGGAGTTTTAGTGCTGCGGAATGGATTTTAACATGATATCTGAGCAACCCAAGTTCATTTCCCACTGGACGTGTATTCAGTGCATGAGTCCAGATCATTCCCTTAAAAGGATGCTCAATCAGCAGGGAAATATTCTAAGTTAAAATGATAAGTATAACCGCACCTTCATAGTTTTGGTGCGGTGGAAGGAACATTACCGAAAATTAAGGTTGGCTACATACATTGATCATATATTGACATTATTAACTTTTTACACCGATGCTGAAAACTGCGGTGTAGTATAATTGTATATGGATCCTTTCTGAAGTTTCTAATACAAAATGCAGGACTTTAATCTGGGTAGAAACATCGTTCTCGCTCTTCAGACGCTTGGAGTAGTATTTGGTGATGTTGGAACGAGTCCATTGTACACTTTTGATGTTATATTTAATAAATATCAGATTACTGGGAAGGAAGATGTCCTTGGAGCACTCTCCCTTGTTCTATACACTTTGATCTTGATACCACTTGTAAAATACATCTTGGTAGTCCTTTGGGGCAATGATCATGGTGAAGGTAAGAGATTAAAGAGCGGGGTCTTTCTATCTATCTCTATCTATAGTCTTGTACAAGGGTTTGATTCTGAAGTAACTTCACGTATTTTTTCCTTCTTCTTAGGGGGAACGTTTGCTTTATATTCGTTGATATGTAGAAATGCAAAGGCTAGTCTTCTTCCAAATCAGTTACCCTCTGATGCTCGGATATCAAGTTTCCGGTTGAAAGTTCCATCACCAGAGCTAGAGAGGTCTTTAAAAATCAAGGAGCGTATTGAAACCTCATTGGTACTGAAGAAATTACTTCTTGTCTTGGTGCTTTTTGGTACCTCCATGGTGATAGCAGATGGAGTTGTTACCCCAGCAATGTCCGGTATGGTTTTCATTTCTTTGTTCTTTCTTGTCACTATCAAGGAAATAGTGTTTATTCAGTTGTCTAGATTCTAACCATTTCCTTTCTAATTGCTATTTGCTAATAATGTTGAAAATTTTGGGTTATTGTTTATCGCCACTTATGTTTTAGTTTCTCATTTTTTTTATCCTCTGTAACTTCCAGTCATGTCAGCTGCTAATGGACTGAAGTTTGGAATTGATGGCATCGGACAAGGCAATACTTACATCATCTAATATTCTAAATTAAAATTATGCTGCAAAGAAAAGTCTGTTTCCGTGCCCTCATGTTTATTCACGTTAACATAATTTTGTACTTCTTGCAGATGAAGCTGTGATGATAACAGTTGCATCACTTATAGTCCTGTTCAGTGTACAGAAATTTGGGACAAGCAAAGTAGGGCTTGCAGTTGGCCCAGCTCTGTTCATATGGTTTTGCTGCCTTGGAGGCATTGGTATCTACAACCTCAAGAAGTATGGCACAACTGTTTTGAGGGCATTTAACCCTGTTTATATATATTATTATTTCAAGAAAGATTCCACTCAGGCTTGGATGTCTCTCGGTGGTTGTCTTCTTTGTGCAACAGGTAAGGATGCAAACCATACAGGGTTAAAATACCAGTTACATGCAGTATCAGGTGCTTATATTACTTGTTTAGCAAGATGGTTTACAGACATGGAATTAACATATCCACTTACAGAAACCTCTCTTGTTTTGCTTTCAGTAGTTCATGTACTTAAGCTTAACATCAGAGTCTCAACATTAAAAGGCTGTTTTATATGTGTCCTGGTGGATGCATTTTATATTGAGTGGTTCTTTTATTCCCTCTGTTCTCCCAAACAACTCTTCCTGAGAAAAAGCAATAACTTTCAAGTAATAAAGGAAAAAAAAAAAGTCAAGGGACTGCTTGTTTTTCTTGTATGATGACTGATGAGCTTCTTCTTTATGAAAATATTGCTAATCATGTCTGTTTTTATTGTTTCACGTTGCTTACTGTCTTTAACTCTATGATGATATACATGTTTTTTTTCCTTTTCTTTTTTTTTGTGAATGTGGAATTTCAGGATCTGAGGCAATGTTTGCAGATCTTTGCTATTTCTCTGTACGATCTGTTCAGGTG